GAATGGAACCATCGAGAGCATCCGGGTTTATCATCCATATTATCGTCAATGGTGCCATCTGATTCACTTGCGTTTGCATACTCATCAACAATATGATGAAGTATATGTTTCACACCATCTGCCTCCAAATTGGTGACTCCAGAACGCATTTTAAGCTTTATTAAATCCAGTATAACTTCAAATAATTTTTTCTCTGCAAGGTCTTCATTCATGCCAATTTGCGGAGCAACTACTTTATGAAAGTCTCATTCATAGACTAAACCAGTAATATATTCATTATCTTAAAGCATAAATGATTAGATTAATATATCAACTTACCTTCTGGATTACTTTGACTATGAAGGCTTTGGGGTGAAGTAACAACCTTCGAGTTATTGCTATGGTTAACACTTGAAACACTTTTTTTAAATTTCGACAAATTATTAATTATTTCATGAATTTTATAAGCAATGAGAACTTCATTCAGTGCAGCAGGTGGTTTTCTCTCACATGATGTTAAATGAGATTCGCGGGAAGGATGAGCTGCATTTGCATCAAAAAAACTTATTTATAGTGTTCGTGCATAACCAACCGGAAGCAGTGTGTTACCTGCGAACAGTCATATTGTGATACCTGTAGTATATGATTTTAGTGATAAATTGAGTTCCACTTACATTTTGGTGCAACTCTTCCCCCATTTAATAAATGATGAAGATCATTTGACGACGCATATCTCTGAGGTTCTCGCTGAGGGGCCGAAATACGAATACTTTCCTCTTCAAGTAAGGAAACTATCTTAAAGAATGTCGATATCTAATAATATAAGACAATTTTCCGAAAATAAATGATTATTATTATAAGTGTTACTATTATATTTGATAAGATTCTCTATTAGATTCACGTTTTGAGCTTAGCTATTTTTTCTCGACATCTAAATTTAAAATAATTTTAAATAACGTTTGTGTTCAAATAAAATAAATTTTAAATAAAAAAATGTATACTTACTTATTTTTCTCTACACTTGATGAGTGTATTTTAACTGACTATTTTTACTACAGTTTCTGTATTTTAACTAAAGTATGTTTTTCCAGCTGCTTAACCGCATTACATGCAGTTAGTATATAAGATTCATTAAATGAACTCCCCTGAATAACATAGATAAGGTTGTGAACTTAACTAATAACCACTATCTTTGGTATTGTAAAGAATACTATATTTTATTTGATGCTGGATCATAAATTTCTCTACACTCTTTTGTGGAGAATGATTTTTTTAGTTTTCTTGTGGCTATATAAACCATTTTTAAAATCAATAAAACGAGGTTTCTTTGCTATAGTTATTGCTTACATCACATCTCTATGCAGAAGCTCGAAGCCTGTTCTTAATGTCTTCGCTAGGTGTTTAACTACATCTTCTGCAGTTGCAGGCCTTTTTAAGAGAAGCATTGCCTATAATATCCGCTTCCCTATGTCTAATTAATATCTTATTAAGGATTTTAATTAAGGATAAAACAGAATCTAATTAAGGATTTATTTTACGAATTTATTGATTTTATTGATTCAGCTGATTGATCTTCATTCAGATTGATTCAGATTGATCCTGCCCAATTATATTATTAAATAAAATGAAATCGTGAAATACTTAATTCACATGATTTTTTACAAGAAAAGAGTACTTTTGACTGATTTTTTTATGACTTGAATTGAATGGTTATCGAATATTAAATCCACTAATGTGCCAGATCTTATCTTTAGTTTATAAGTAATCTATCTTTAGTTTATAAGTAAGTAAGTAAGTAAAAAATTACATCCAAAAACTATAGCAATTTCACTGGAATTTCAACAGTACGTAGATAAAGCATATGCCATTGTACATTACAATCATTAGTTCAATATTCAATCAAACTTTAATTATGATGATGAGGCTTTCTCAGAAACAAACGTTAGAGTTAGTGCCTTTTAGGAGCAAATCTACATATTTTGTGGTGAATATACTCACATAAATTCAGAAGGTGTTATGAATATCTGTATAACATGCTTTTTGGTCATGACCAAAAAGAGCGTAAAATCACCGTGAACATTTTCCAAATGGCTGTCTGTATATGGTCCAGAGCCTCTGTACGATGATTTGATAAGTATTGCTTAGAACAAGTTAGTGTTAGCTAATAGAGAAACTAATCCGTTAAACCATTTACTTGAAGTTGCTGTCATAGAAAATATGGTTGTTGAAAAAAAAAATTGGACAGGTTAATTGTTAATTATTATTAAAAAAATTATTTACTAAGCATTATTAATATTTAAGAATAATTGAAAATTTAATGGGGAGCTTGAAAACTTTTTTTAAATATTTAAACAAATCTTTTGTGAAATAATTAAACTATGAAATTTCTAACATGGCATGGGATGGATATACTCTGTGCACTTTCACTCATATTCGACAAAATGAACAATAGAAACAATTGAGAACATGTTTAACCATTTGGCATTTCCCTAAGCCTTCCCGTATTCTAATGGTTCATGTTGAGTAAGTTGAACGAGAAAAAGTTAAAGAAAAAAATTATTTTTCTTATATTTACTACCGCGTAGTAGTGAGATGAGTGAGTGAGAAAATCAAGTACGAAACTGCAACCAACAGTCAGTTAACACTAAAACAATACAACAATACAACAAATACAACAAATATAACATAAACACTGCACTTCTGTCAAGGCTCATACACATCCTTTGCGGCTTCATTTAAATTTTGTGTGAAAATGCCGGGGTATGAGTCCGCACAACCTTATTTACGCATCCTTAATGGAGCCCCCTTCTAGAGACTTTATTTTCCGAAAAGTAATATTAAATACATTGCAAAGGCATATGAATTACATATAATCCTTAATGCCAAAACAAATTCTCCACTGCAGTACTGTGCGCACATTGTTAGTCAAGCAGTTGTGTGTGTGTGTCCTGTGTATGTCCCGTATGTGTGCTGATGTGTGCTGATGTGAGTGGGTGGCGTTTAAGGTGGCGTTCACACAACGCCAAGTTGTCAAATCCTTGTAAGCGAATGTGTGTGAAGTCCTTATGAGTTTATTTGCTAAACTTATTTCCATTACAAATGAGCTTATTATACGCAAGTCATAAAGTCATAAGAACAAAAAAGGATTTGCATGTGATTAGTAGGAAGAAATGTAAACAATGCCAACAGGAACGGCAAAAGTGAAAGTTCAAAGTTTTTAAATAATCCATGTATTTAAATATGAAATATAGAAAAAATGAGTTAGAGAGACCCTACTCCCCCACAAGGTTTGGTTTGGTGTCTAATGATAAAACAAATAAAATTAAACGTGCATCATTTTTTTTATGTGTCAATTTAATTTAATGTTTTCTCCTTTAATGTTGGGAATAATAATTTTTAAATGTGCTTTAGTGCTTTAGACTTAAGCGTTTTAACATTTATTACATTATTAAAATGAGGCTTTGTGAGTACATCAAAAGTCATAAATGTAATTTAAAATAATTTGATCTTTTGTTGGAGTGAAAACGTTGAGATAAATTAATATCTGATTAGTGCTGTGTATTTCACATTGAGCATACTCGTATATGTTAATATATGCATACCTTCTGCTCAAAAAGTATGCGGATTTTGTGAATAAAACACACAAATTTAAATTTTATTTCAAATTTATTTTATCTCCTTCAATATATGCTTCTTCTGAAGCGATACACATATGCCAACGCTTAATCCAATCTTCCATACACTTTTCGTAGGCCCGTGAAGATATGGCTTTTAGTTCCTTCAGCGAATTTTCTTTTATCGATTCAATCGACTCAAAACGCTTACCACGAAGGGGCAATTTGAGTTTCGGGAACAGGAAAAAGTCGCACGGCGCCAGATCTGACGAATATGGTGAACGAGTGGTGACAGTGGTGCCGTGTTTGGTCAAAAAATCGCGTACAACAAGAATTTTCCATAGTAAAAATCGCTAAATGAGAGTTTACTCGCTTAGAGTAAACTCTCTGCAAGGAGTTATTGTAACCACGATTTTAGATTGGTTGTAGAGCAGGATTACAGAAGAGACGTGTACAATATCGTCCGGACAAAGGGACAGTCATTTAGAAAACATTATTAAATAGAACAAAGAGAAATTGAGCTGCATAAATAGTATTAAGAGGAAATTATGATGCTTGGTAAAATATCTATGCGCTAGCGTTAAAAAAAGTCATCCATACGGTCGATGTTAGAAGACTTGTAATTAATGCAGTGCCAAAAATATCCGCCATCGAACTTACGCTTGTAGTTAATGCAGACTCGGTAAGGTTATTAGCAGAGCCTTCAATACGAAGATATATATCAGACAATTTTGACAATTTTCAAAATTTTTGAATAGTTGACTTTGATTTTCCAAATCTATATTTGCAAGGTGAGCGTTGAGGTCATTACTAACGTTGAACGAACATTCAAACTAAATGTAGAACAAGTAAACATTGACAAAACATCTGCTTAATGTTCCGGACCTCGTCACCTTGACCAAATTTAAATCGCGACATCTATCTTTCTCTTATTCTTATTTTTTTCTTAATGTTTTTTAAAAGCTGTATTAAGTAAATAGATTATCAAAATACTTTTTGATATCCTGACACTGTATTACGCGGCACTGCAGACTGAGTATTCACAGAATTTGATGTTTTGAAAATTGAATGTTGATATGTCTCAACACATTCTGTAAATGCAATAGACATGAGTAACAGAACTATCCATCTTGGGAATAGACTTCCTGCCACTTACAACAAATGAAGCATAATAAAAGCATCAAATGTGCTCACATTCATTAAAATCTTAGCAATCGGTCAAAGCAACTGGGGTTAGTAAAATGGACCACCTGAGTTATAGGTATTTAATTGAAATAATCACTCTATAATAAAAATAATGATAAATACCTTGCGATAAATTTGATTTGAAAAACAGGCTTTGATAATTTTAAATATGTAATATACAATGTATAAAAAAATTTAGAAAACAAAATATTTTTACAAACTCTCGTACTTCATATATTTTTTTATAATCTTTGTTTTAGGCTGTTTTTGTGTTGAGGAAAATGGCGGAACGAACAAATTTAACAGAAAATAAATTGGCTGAATGTAGGGAAGCGTTTGCTCTATTCGATGCCGACGGCGATGGCGCAATCACAACTACTGAAGTAGGAACTTTGTTGCGTTCATTAGGGCAGACTCCAACGGAGGCGGAGGTCCGAGAAATGGTGTCGCTCATTGATACAAATGGAAATGGTATGATTGAATTTGAAGAATTTGTTGACTTAATGCTAAAAACGATGGATGGTGAAACTACTGAGCGAGATTTCCGTGAAGCTTTTTCTGTTTTTGATAGAGATGAAAATGGTTTCATAACAGCAGATGAGTTGAGGTACATATTGACGCAATTGGGTGAAGCGTTAACAGATGATGAGGTCGACGATATTATACGCGAAGTCGATATAGATGGTGACGGACAAATCAATTATCAAGAATTTATAGTAATGATGACCATGTAATGTAACACTCTAGCCTGAAAATGTTTCTCCTAAAACGAATATCACCACATATTTCTGGATTTCATGTCAAATAATCATAGAAAAGATAAAGAAACTGCCTCAACACAAAACAAATAAAAATTTATAAAGTAAATGAAAAACATTGTGTTGATTATTTTATTGTAATGGTTTTAGTGTTTAACCCATATCCGTCCAAGGACTTTTTTTTTGGAATTTTTGATCAAAATTTTATATATTGGGTATATTTGGGCCAAAAAATCACGAATCTGAAGTCCAAATTTTTTTACAATTTTTTGTTTTGGAGAAAGGTGGTGTTCGAATAATCGAATACTCAACTTTACACATCTGTGTAGGCTGAAGGAAAAACTTGATAAAAAATCTAAAAGTGTTTTATGAAGTTTGACTTGTTGGCAATAAAACTCTGTCTAATTATTTTTTTTATATCTTTTTCATAATTTTTAAAAGTAGACCAAAAGTAATGTGTTTTTTAAAGCTTACTAAGTAAGAGGGTGGGTGGTGTAGAGTGAGGTCACAAATATTTTTGTAAAGCTAAAGCTTCATACAGCCAAAGTAATTATATATATATAAACTCTTAAACTTTTTCGAATATAAAAAAAAATCCATGGAGAGTGGTAAAATTTGCTGTTCGATTAATCGAACGTTGGGCGGATATGGGTTAATCATGTATATAAAAGATGATTATTGCATATTTTATTTATTTCAATACTACATAAAACTGCCAATAAGTTCTTTACTTTATATAAATGAATTGAGAGTGGTTGCTTTAAGCTAAAGAGTGCAAATCTTCAATAATAATAAATTTTTTTCAATTTATTATCATTACACGAAATTCTTGATACTCAGAACTATCTTTATACAGTCTTGATTAACATACAGGATAAAATTAATTTATATTTTTGCAATATAAAATCCTTCATTTATTTATAGCATTTCCCTTATGTTAAATATACTCATAAATTTATTGAATTTTAATTGAAACATTTAAAGAAAAATTATAAAAAAATGTTTGATTTAAATTCATTTTCCAGAAAGTATTATAATATTCGCGTTAAAATTATCCAAGATAACTGCATTCACTTCGAAAGAATACCAGCAATACATTGACTTGCCTTGCTTCCCAATCGAAATCGTCCATTTAAATTCACAGCAGAAATCGAAATCAGTATCAATAATTCATGAATTTTAAATGGGCTCTTAAGTATACTCAGTTATCCCGTAAAGCAGTAAGAGTCTTAAGGTTGAAGTAAATAAAGGAAAATAATATGCAAAATGGAAAAACAAAAATAAAAATTCAACTTTCAAACTTAATCAATAAAAATTGGCAAATAATACTGAAGGAAAGAAATTTAAATTAAAATTAACTGACATTCGTTCACTGCAAATAAATCGCATGCGCTTGAAGTACTTTGGATAATGCCATGCACTACGTTAGCATACCAAAGATACTAAAAAATTTACGACTTACAACAGGATTTCAAAAAGAAAATTTTTTTCAAAAACTATTTATGAAAAAAAATTATTAAAAACTGGAATTAATACATGCCACTTCCATTAGCTTCCATTAGCCCCATAGAAAAATACGGGAAAAAAAATATTTTTTAATCACATCACAGAATGTGTAGTTCTACACACCATAACACTTAATATGTATTTAAACTTCAAATCTAAAATTTAAACAATACATATTAAATTTTATTGGCATTTGGTGGCTTTGAAGCCATGCTTAAAGTAAATACAAATATTTCCAATTCATATGTTATATACGCTATTGAATGTATATGTATATATCAGTTATATTGTATAGTTAGTACTAAGAGTAAAATGTGTATATTGTCCTTTAATTTTAATTAAAATTAAAATCTTTTATTTTATTTCATTATATTAAATTTTGATTTTTTTGGGCTTCAATAGGATGTCAAAAAACTAAAGGATTATCTGTTACAAGCAACGAAGCTTCCTAACACTCGACCGACAAATGGGAACAGACAAGTTCGGAATAATTAAGTTTTCTAACAATTAAAGAAATCAACCATTAACAAGTAAATAATAAAAATTAATACATTAATAAGAGATCTTATCTGTTCAATTCATTATATTAAATATATTCACCTAAAAAATATTTCAAAAGTATATTCTGAAAGCTATGTATAAAGCAAGAAAGTGCTTTGTAGATACCATTATTTTCATGGAAGCAATCATAAATACTATATAAATGTACTATACAGTTACTTAAAGATGAATATGAATTATTAATATACGATATCAACAGCCTGTTTAAGTAGATATAAAAAACCGATTTGGAGCTTTAGGGACCTTTATTTAAATACATTGTAATCTGTAATATAATAAAAGTTCAAGTAAATGAAATGTGAAAAAAGTGCCATCTATAGAGTATTAACTGCAATAATAATAAATTCAATATAATTAATAAACATTTTGATATTAGTTTGTAGAGTGTTTTATTTCAAATTAAGTAACAAATCATAAAGAAGCTGATAACATTTATGTTATATCTGAAATCGTTATTTTAACAGATATTTCGTTACTATTTCTATGGAGAGGCAAACTAATATTTCGAATTGATACTCGTTATCCATGATATACACGTGATATACCATGAATACACAAATAATTTTATAAAACCCGCACCAAAAACTAATAAAACTGTGTTATGTTATACACAGTTTACGTCCAAAGACGCTAGTTCTCAGTTTCATCACTAATCAGTAGTCCTTAAATCAAAGTGATGACTCACAAACAGCCTCGTCGCAGCGATCAAATTCTATTAACATAGTTTTAGAAGTGTTCTAGATATTTTGATATGCACTACTATCAATCGACTTCAATTAAAGCTCAATCATTTTTTAATATGGAATTTTTGATCCTATTCAAAAATTATTTTAGAATAGTCATACATTACTAAACTGTGATGATAACATAAATGTTGGATCGCAATGTAGATTTTTCTTAACCACAACCACAAAAGTTGTTATTAACCACAAAAGAGCCATCACAATAATAACGTTTCAATTGCTTGACAGAAAGGTATCAGTCCCATCGCTATCGTAGAAATAACGTATCGTGAAGGTGACATTCATAAGAATTTCGCACCTAATACCAATAGTGAGTTAGAAAATGATAATCTTCCTCTTAGAGCTTTTAACATTATACAAATATTTCTTTAATATGTTCACTAATTTATTATTTACTACTATTTGTGGAATCAGGTTACTCTTGTATATTATAACTAATAAATTTTATGGAAAATTACATATAATATTACGCAGCAAGGTTGTATCAAGAATATTAATTAATTTTTTTAAGTTTAATAAAGTTCTTTAAATAATTCAGGCATTTAATGCGAAATAGTAGATATTAAAGTAAGATATATATTGTTCTTTTTACGACTGATTTGAAGCTGCTTTCTTTTTCATTTCTAAAACCCCAACGATGGCATCAATAAACATAACCTTGTGTAGTCGCACCTTCTCCACTTTCTCTATTTGTTCTTGAACGTATGCGATTCGTTTCTCCAAATACTCCTTGGACTCATTTAAGTTCTAAAATGTAAAAATATTTACATTTAAAATATTTTACATTTAAATAAATTGTTATATTAACAAAAGTTAATACAAAATTAAGGTTAAAACTATTGCACTCACTGACCATTTATCTATAAATTAATGTGCAAAATTAAACATATCTGTTTTATTTTCGCTAATTTAAATGAATAAATGAATAAATGGTAGAAACTGATATAAATTTAGCTGAAGGCAACATTGTCTCTCACTGTACGGTAAAAACTATTAAGACCAATGTGAAGTTTAATTACCTTTTCAATATAATATCCAGCACCAATATTTAATAGGACATTGTTTGGATCCTTAATGCGTCCGTTCACGTAAAGGCTACTTGTAAGCGGAACTAAGACTTCACGGTTTTCCCAATTGGGTTGGATTGCATCTAACGCTTCCTTAGATGCAACAAACTTTTCCTTGCAATCTTGAAGAGCCTGTTGCGACTCTTTTAGAACAGCACACTCCTATAAAAATAATAGTAAAATAAAAACGTTAAAATATCAAAATGACATTTGAAGTGCATAATACACGCACTTGTTCAACTGTATGCTTCATTCCAAACAACTGGTCCAGACTCCATGTTGTTAAGTCCACTTGGACGAGTGCTTCATCTTCACTAGTCGATGCCATTGTTTAACTTTTGACCCCAGAAACTACAGAACAGAATCTATCACTTCAAATGCTAAATATTCAATGTCAAGTCGGTAAAAGCTGCAATGCAATGAAAATTATTTGACATATGATTGAAGTGTTGCCACCTTTTCTTTAAATTAATTTGTGATTAATATTTGGATCAGAGCAGATGAAGAAAAGAAACTGAGGAAATTTTGAACAATTGCGCCTCTTTGTGTAATATCGCGAAAAAATTACTCTTTTTTATTCACCATACCAGAATTGTCAAATATTAAAATGGGTGTGGCTTATAACTTAAAAATTTACAACATATGAGGTTACACATTAGTTTGTTGCTATTTTTTCTAATTAGAAAACGTAGTATAAATTATTGTTGTTGGAAAATTTATTGCATATATTAATTTCATTTCATTTCATGAGTATATTTAGGCATAATTATTTATATCAGTTTTATTTTAATTTATGATACAATATGATACAAAAAATAATAAGGAACTAATTTATTAAGAATGAATTATAAATAAATTTTATAAATTATTAAATTAAAAATTTTTGTTAAATTGAAGCAAAAAATTACTTAAAGAGTATAAACCCTTTTGTGTTTCTTATAAAGGTTTAAAGCATAATTGTTTATATTTAAAATTCGAAACTTTATTATCTTGATTAAAAAATTTTAAAATAAAGTAAATTCTTATTCTAATGAAAAAGGCTAGAAGAGATTCTATATTGCAAATTGAGCAAAACTTGAGCGCTTTTTATTTTTATTAAATAATTGTTGCAAATACATGTCCCGTTTATGGAGCCAGTAATTTCTAACAGGGTTTCCTACTCGTTTCTATAATAATAACCATAAAACAACCATTACATAAAATTCCTAAGAAACCAAGCAAGAATTTTAAAAAGTCGAATACAATTACAAGCCCAAGTCCATTCGTCTGTATGATTTGATGAAAAAACACAAAAACAAAATCGCAAATTATATATTTTTATATAAATATTTTAAATATATTTTTAAAACACATATATAATTTTTTACAGATACGAAATTTATCCAATAACAACACACAACCGTTATAATTAAAAATATTAAGTATGGGTCAGGATTTCTCCATTTTCATAATTAATATTATATTATGGAAAAAGTAATATTCTAATTAGTTTTATATACTAATTTCGAAGCAATAAATAAATTAATTATTAAATTAATTGATAGCTTATTGTATTCACCAATTAGGCACACATCTTTATTTCTAATATGTTATTACATATATGTATTATCGTGGTGAGTTGGAACCGGTGGAGCCAAATAGTAAGACCCGGTGGAGAAAATGATTATGCGGCATTGTGCAGCTTTAAAATTTTTGTTTTTGTACTGTGTGATATTTTCACCTCATTACACAAAATTTTATTTTTTACACAATTTTTCAAATAACTCTCACTTTCTTTTCTTTATATTCTTTAGTTTGGATGAGACTTGACATATCTTTTTCATAGCGAATTAAAATATTTAGGACTAGTTTTAACACTTTTTTTAACACATTTCCATTTAAGTGAGCTGACAGTCAAAAATTTGAAGAAAATTCTATACAAATGAAATGTTTTACATGGGTATGATGTTTTACGGTGGGTATGATTTAAATTCTATTTTATTGGAATTATGTACAGTAGTCCATTCGCCTCTCCCTCAACACTGCATATAGCGGCCTTAGTTATTTTGACATAGCCTTATTTTAAAACGATTTATTTTAAATCAAACAAAATTGACGTAATTAACAATAATAAAATGCCGGTGTCTATGTGAGAAATAAGATTTTTCAATGCGGTCTTCAAAGTATTATTTGGACAGCCATTACCTTTCAGTAGTTAGTAACAAATGTTGACGTGTTGTATAACAATTCTAGTTGGCTTAAATTAATGACAAAAACATGATAAAACTAGAGTCAATAGTTTTGCAGTAGTTAACGATTCTCTTTGTAGTGCAATTATATGAATTCCAAAAGTCCAGATTTAGCTACCAGTTGAAGCGATACGTTTAAATTTAATTTCTCCTTAGGAAGGAACGAGAACCATCTAACACCTCACCTTGAAGAAAGTGACTTCACATCGAATGAAAATGAATGAATATAGTCATTGTTACTCGCGTATATTTGAGTTTTAGCCACAGTCATCCCGATGCTCCTATTAAAGGGGCCAAACTGTATTGGTCAGCACAGCTAAAGCTGTGGGCTCCGACAACCGTAGCAACAGCAAGTGATATTTCCAGTTGGTACTTTGAGCAGTTTTGGTGAGGCTTACTGGATTTTAGTCGTCTCTTACGATGGACATGTATTACCATGGTAATATTTTAACCACGTTCTCGCTGGGGACAATGTGCACTTTATTAGCCAGTATCTATGACTAAATAGTGCATAGCATTTCAGAAGTGCATTTACTTAACTTTACCGTTTTACAGTTTATTTATTATTTATTATTCTTGTTACGATAATAATAATAATAAAAATAAAATAATAATAATAATCAGGGGTAAATGGAAAACATTTATTTTGTATTCCCTAATCCACAATTAAACGCCCCGTATTTATGGATTAAGTTTCTTCTTAGTCGAACTAAGCAAACGATTATACGATTATGTGTCAGATGGGGTGTGCGTAACTTCAAAATGTGCAAATATTATGAAGATATTCACAAATAATATTAACATAAGACATGGTGTTTATTTTACGAAACTATAACCTTATCGCTCGAAGTTGCATTGAATTCTTTGACTCCTTTCAGCTTTTATTGAATGAGATGCTGTTTGCAATAAAAGTTCTACTTCATGCTTACAGAGGAATAAATTCCAACACATTTGCAAATGTAAATATACATAACCAATACAAAGCCAGGATTGTTATTGTCATTTATTTTTCTTTTTTTTGTTTTTTTTTTAATTTTCTTAACAAAATAGCATAATGAAGGGAATTCCCAAAACTTGTTTAAGTAAGGATGTCAAAGATAGCATTAACACTGACATGCCTTAAGGGACAATGTTGCACACGTACCAGAAACGACACTCCCGTACTGTAACATTTGCCAGTGAGGGCAGCAAAATCTATAACAGCAACAACCAAACAACAACGTAAACACCAGGAGCAACAGCAATGCCGGAGCGGAGCGGAGTGGAGCGGAGCATTGAAGTGAAGTACATGTGCTTTACTTGATTGAGTTTTATGCTAAACAGTGCACAACATACGAGTGCAATTATAAGGAGTACATTGTGTTCTTAAGGATGACGCCCAACACTGAGGCTTCAAGCTTCCAATACACAAACTCGCTTACACATAATTCAATATCTCAATACGAGGCGGATGCTGTATGATGCGGAGAAAGCGAAATATACGATTTTGTGTACGATTTTGTTATAATTCTAAGATGTGTAACGAGTGTAAAAAGATTTCACATTAGCGCTCACAGGCTTTATGTAGCACAATCGAATGTGTGGCACACGACTGGGTGAGCTCCTTTTAAAGGTCGCCTGGTTTATGTGTTTGTGGGTAAAAGTGGAAACTTTTTTTCTTAAATGCTTCACAAACATTTTGTAAATTTTTTTTTTTCATTTTACTTTCTAATAGCAAATATGTACGTCACACGTATAAACGTTTTTGCTTGAGTTACTTTTTGTCACAGTGACACTTAAAGTGATGGATTTGCCCCCTTTGGCAGTACATGCTGGTAAATGGATGACATTAACCGATTTTAAATAAGAAAATCCAAAAGTTACATAAACAAATACGTGAACATATAAATACTGACTTTCAACCACATATTTTGCCAAAAAAAAAAAAAAAATTAGATAAATTTAAAATTTATCAAATCCATACGATAAATAATGCAAAATATATTTCAAAAAGCTACCCACCCATATGCTATGTCAGATTAGGAAGGTGAACTTATGTAAGGCTTAAGAATATGTACGGATCATCCGCGTATGTAGAGAAATTTTATTTGTAAAAAGCGTAGGGAAAAAAATTGAGTGTAGGATAAAATAGTGCATAAATCGAAATGCACTCATGTCTATAAAAGTAAAATGTGAATGCATTTGAAAGCACTTTTACTAGTAAAAAATCAATATGCACTTCTATTTATGTGCTTCCGTAAATAGGAACATAAAGAGGGTCATTCAATGAAAAAAATCAACAAGAAAATAGGAGTGGAACACTTTCCAAACTTTACATTTTTCACAGAATCCTCCAAGCTTTTTTAAATACTTTCACTGAGATGTCTTAGTTTAATATAATATATATGAATTGATCAAATATGTACAAATACATTCGTACATATCCTTGAACATTCCTTACATATTCTTTCATGCTTATCTTATGAAAAACTTACGTACTTCAAACATTCATCTTTGATATATTATGTATTAGTAGAGCTCTAAAAATTTTATAAATCTCTAAACAAATTTGAAAGAAAAACAAAACGAAAAGGTTGAAAAGAAGTTGCTTTGCCTTGGCCATAATATCAATATCTTTTAGAAGTAGAAGTTCTTGTGAATTCTAATGAGTTTGACAAATTGGATTTGTATATACACACATATTTACCTATAACAACGATGCTAGACTCCAAATCAATTGGTAAAAGTTTTAATAGCAAGATTTGACAAGAAAAAACCTAAGATTTGACAACCTAAGACGCCATTGCTGCTTTTTTACTTACTTTCTAACTCTCCAAAATGTCGATGTTTAAACAACAGACGCTATCTGTTCTTTAACAGACGTTAATACAATTATCAATTACAAAAATGACTATGCGCCGTGGATCACTGTTTCACAATTATGTGTTGTTATTGTTGTTGTTGGTGACGAATACTGGGCTTAAACAAATCAACCCTCATACCTATGTCCATCACTGTGCTTTTGAGCGTTTTGTGTGTTTGACTTTATACAGATTTTTATGAGGCTATTCCTTGAAAGAAAAACCCATGCCTTTCGGCGTTGCTTGTACACCGATCACTACGGTGCTTTCGGGGGTCCCTCTCAGCCGCGTATTTACAACGATAATTCGTGATATAATAACGGATCAGTATTTGAGGTTAAGTAAGCTTTGAACATAAGGC